ATGTGGCGTGACCTCTTGTAATAGCACCCTATATAGATATGAAACAGAGGCTTTTGGATTCCCGTAGTTTTTTTTTTAGACATAATTTATTTATTTTTTTAGGTTTTGCATTTAGATATATATCTAGACATTTCTAAAAGATTACTTTTTTTTCAAGGTTTAGATATCTAACCAAAAATATATATAATGTTTTACGTTATGATTACAGTCAAACATTAAAATCTTGTTAGAAAGGGAACACATAGAAAGCATTTGTTACTCCGTATTTTGATCATTAAAAAACCTAACAAAATAACGAATGGGTAGTGATAATTCAAAACACTTTATACACACATTTTGTAATTAATTGATATTTTATTCAGTGTAATTCAATAAATGTTAATCAAACTAAAGAACAGAAATGACCGTTTTTTTCGTATTTCCCATTCATTTCTTATGACTGCGAAGTCAAGTGTGACCATTTCTTTTTGACCCTTTAACATAAAAATTTGTAATAAATCAATGTCTTAAAAAAATGAACAAACTGAATTTAAGTGTATTTATATTCTTTCATTCATAGTCTAAAACATTTTCTTTGCACATTTTAATCAAGGTGTTTGCTCTAAAAAGAAAGTCCAGGTCAATACGTAATGCAGTATAGTCATCAGAATCTGATTATAAATGTTATACATCATATATTAAACGGCACTTAATTGCTGAAGCAACTGTGCCAACTACAATAGAAATGCTGCTGGAAAAGAAGTCCTAACTAATCGTTGATCAATTTGTGTTTTTAAAAGACTAATACCAATATTTAGAAAGCAGGAGAGCTGATGTCCTTTATGAAATAATACTATTAACTAAAGCAAAAAAAAAAGACATGCCGAAATGCATACAAATTGAGGGAACTGACTGAACGATTGCATAACATTTACTTGCTTCACAAACTTCTCTCACGACAGATGCACGTTTAAAGACTTGAAATAAACACAAGTGGTTCTCAAACAGATGACTTAAAAAGATTGAAAATAAGACAAGGTTTAAAATAAGCTAAACCTTTAAAAACCAAATACTTCTAATTCACCCCCTCCACAACAAGGATGTGGAAACCTGTTTCTAAAGGTGTGATTTCTAGACCTGGAAAAGTTATTCAAATGAATACAATTTTAAAACACCTTAGACACTTTTATAAAGAATGTACATTTTGCTTGCCAAGCTCTAAAATATTCCATCAGGTAGAAATTGACTAAAAATATTAGTAAAATTCCTTATCCAGTAATTCTAAATTACTAAACAACTGGACAAGTCATGCCGATTCACTGGTTAGAAATAGTGGGATCCCTAACGAATATTCAGCACTTTAAACTTTTGGAATCTGGAAGCCTTTGAATATGGTTGCAGTCAAAGGTTGAGAGCCACTGCTGTATCGATCACTAGACCTAACTATAGAGATATTGAATGAAAAACATGCTTAAAGGGTTAGTTCACCCAAAAACAAATTCTTTGATCTTTCAAGCTGTTTAATGCCACTCAGTGGGTGTTGCATGCATCAGTCCAAAAGAAGTTAAATAAAAAGCGCCCATCCATAAACAAAAAAGTGTCTCACACGGCTCCGGGGGGTGAACAAAGGCCTCCTGTAGTGAATTGATGCATTTTTGTAAGAAAAATATCCATATTCAAAATGTAATAATCACTTTAATGTAGCTTGCGCCAACAGTTGTACACGGAAGCAGCTCCGGGAGCATGACGTATGAGGTCAGCGTTGCGCATGCGCCGGTGAGTCTCGTGAAAACCAACGTTTGTTAACAGGAGCAAAGGAAGCAAAGTTCCCTTACTTTAGCAAAGGAAGCAAAGTTTCCTTACTTCAGCAAAAGAAAACTAATCTTCTCTTGGCTTATATCGAAATCCTCCGACATTCTTCTTTACAAATCCTCGTTTTGAACTTCTAATAAGTGACCGTTGTTTTGTTTTGATCTCTCCGCTGGGCTTCCGCGTTCATCACTTCTGAGCGGCGCATGTGCAAAGCCGACTTCATACGTCATCCGCCCGGAGCTGCTTCCGTTTACAACAGTGAGCGCAAGCTGCATTAAAGAGATTATTACGTTTTAAATATGGTTATTTTTCTTCAGGAGGACTTTGTTCACCCCCCGGAGCCGTGTGCTTTTTATTATGGATGGGCACTTTTTATTTCACTTCTCTTGGACTGAAGCACTGTAACACCCACTGAGTGGCATTAAACAGCTTGAAAGATCAAAAACAAATTTTGTTTTATATCTCCGACTGGATTCGTCTGAAAGAAGAAAGTCATATACACCTAGGATGACTTGAGGGTGAGCTAATTTAAATTTTTGGGTGAACTAACCCTTTAATTTCCTTTATTTCACACTAGGTTATCTCTCAAACCCTCGCTACTTTGGAGCTGTGGTAGGTCGGGTTGCAAACCGCATTGCCAAGGGCCGGTTTGTGGTAGATGAGAAAGAATATAAACTGGCTATTAACAATGGACCCAATGCTCTGCATGGAGGACTGAAGGGCTTTGACAAGGTAAATTTGAAATGAAAACCATATCTATCCTTATTCTCCAAAACAAGCTTTGTCAGCAGACATCATTTCTTTAAGGACGTTTGTGTGTTGTAGGCCGTGTGGACCACAGAGGCGGTGGATAATGGAGTGAAGCTGAGTCACAGCAGTCCAGATGGTGATGAGGGTTATCCTGGGAACCTAAACGCTTCGGTCACTTACAGACTGGAGAAGAACACACTGAGTGTACTGTACTCTGCACAGACTGACCGTACTACAACCATCAACCTCACCAACCATTCATACTTCAACCTGGCTGGACAGGTAGGGCTACAAGCACACAGTTTATAAACCTCGTCTTACACTGCATGGTTAAAGTCTGTGTGAACTGTCTTTTGTGGACACAACAGGTGTATTCCTACTCTTAATGAATGCTTTTTCGTATCTGCAGGGGACACCAGACATTTACGACCATGAGGTGACCATCTCAGCAGAGTCGTACCTGCCTGTGGATGATACGATGATCCCCACAGGTATTTTTATCCCATTATTTTAGAGAATTCGATCTTTTAAACGTCTATGAGCAGAAACTGTCGAGCATGGTTTTGTGTGGTTTCTTTACTATGTACAGGGGAGGTGAAACCTGTGGAGAAGACCCTGTTTGACCTGAGAAAGCCTGTCCTCCTTGGCTCTAGACTGAAAGAGCTGCCTGGTCCAGGCTTTGATCACAACTTCTGTCTGTGTTCACCTGGTGATCCGCCACTGGAGCGAAAGTGTGCTCGGTAAACCGTTATTTCAATTGGATTATTGAGCCTATGTGATTACTCTATATGTGCCTTAATATTACTGCACGTGTTGGTCTGTGTAGAGTGGTGCATCCTGGGACGGGTCGTGTTCTGGAGGTGAGCACTACACAGCCTGGGGTTCAGTTCTACACGTCCAACTTCCTGGATGGGACATTGAAAGGAAAGGGTGGAGCTGCTTACTCCAAACACAGTGCCTTCTGTTTAGAGACCCAAAACTGGCCAGATGCTGTTAACCAGGTACTGTAAATGAATTAAAAGTAAATTTTAGTTCAGACCAAAAAAAAAAAAATAGTAAAATGTACACTATTCAAAAGTTTGAGGTCAGTAGGATATTATTTTTGATACTGCCATTCTGTTGGGTGATCAAAGTTGACACTAAAGACAATGTTGCAAAATGTTCTTTTGAACTTTCTATTAATCAGAAAATCCTGAAAATAATACTTCAAAATGTTACTGTATTTTCGATCAAATAAATAGAGCCTTGGTGTGCATGAGACGTAAATTAAATTGTTCAAACCCCAAACTTTTGAACTGCTGTATACATTGTACTATATAACATATAGACCATATTTGTGTACTTGTTTCTCTCTCTCTTTATATATATATATATATATATATGTGATGTTTTTGCTTTATAAAAAAGCTAATGTTTCTGAATTAATGAGAGATCTCTTGTCTCTTCTCAGCCTCATTTTCCTGATGCTCTGCTGAGGCCAGGAGAGACGTACACACACACAACACGCTTCACATTCTCAGTGCTCTGAAATTACACCAGCATGTGAAGTTTACTTTTACAACAGTACACAACTGCTTTTCTAGCAGAATGTTACATGACCAACATAATGTACTGCTTCTATGACCATAATATTGTATTTCTAGAATTTGCTCATGTTTTAGTAGGGGATATTTGTTCCCCCTACCATAAATCCTACACTAACACAATTATTACTTGAAGTTAAAAGACATTAAGGTTTGCTTGTAATCATACATTTTAATGTCATCTAATAAAAACAAAGCCTGTAATTTGTTTTCAAAATATAATTTTTTTTTTGAGGTGAATACCATAATAGCGTTATCCAAAAAAATGCAGTCATGTAAAGAGATGGCTGTAACATTTTTAAATTTACACAAATTATATAAATGCAATAGAATCACACAATTATTTTGTTTATTTTTAAAAGAAAATCCATAATTTTTTTTACCCAGTTCATTTATTTATTTTTAAATAGACTTGATATTGCATATTTTGGCAAACGTATGACTTTTCATAGTAGTCCCACATTATAATAGAAATTAATAATTCAAAACACAATAACAGTGCGTTTTATAATTTGGCACAATTCATACTCCCAAGTACCTCATGCCATACATTCAAGATTTATGCACATGCTGTCTTGTTGCTATAATATTGCATTAAAGCAGTCCAATATGGACTTTGGGATTGAGGACATGTCTGTGTGAAATCACACAATGCCAAAGTATATTTTCTGCATCTTAAGAGTGAAAATTTAAGGGGGTCTGAATACTTTCCGTACCCACTGTATATGTGATGTTTTTGCTTTATAAAAAAAGCGAATGTTTCTGAATTAATGAGAGATCTCTTGTCTCTTCTCAGCCTCATTTTCCTGATGCTCTGCTGAGGCCAGGAGAGACGTACACACACACAACACGCTTCACATTCTCAGTGCTCTGAAATTACACCAGCATGTGAAGTTTACTTTTACAACAGTACACAACTGCACAAGATGAGGGGTGTATGTGGACGGCTCCATCACTCTTGGTCATGAAGCGCAGCTCCTCTGCTTTAGGCTGCATCTTAACAGCTCCTTTACCAGTGAGCTTATACTTCCCCTGAGGAGATCTCACCTAAATAAAGCATGGCGTGTTTCATACTCCCTCACATGAAACCTCTTACACACCATTTCAGAGAAATCTGTGCTCTGACCTGGACTACATTAGGGTAGAGAGCCGCACACAACATGGCTGACATCAGCTTTGTGTTATCCGAGTTCAGGTTGGCCTGTGAGGGACAGAAATACAAGAGTTGATTGTTTTTACCTAAAATGTTTATACATCTTGTATTGATTTTACCCAAGAGTGTAAAACAACACATACTTAAACCTACCACTGAACAATTTCATATATTACTAGTGTCAAAAAACACTCGCTGTCCAGAAGAGATGAGATGAAACATCTTACAAATAGTTTGTACAAAATTTTCCAAACTGATGTTAATCAAAGAATTTCATCTAATGTTCTCTATATTTTAACAATTATATTACATTGGTATTCATTAACACTCACTACATCTAAAACAAGCAGTCTTAGACTGTTAATAAATCAACTGAATATTTAATTTAAGAAAAACAAAAATATTTATATAAATATTAATTATTTATATATTTTAATTTAAATTTTACAACTAAAAATCCTTCAGAAGGTTTCAAAGCTGTGTTGTCAACACTGTCAGAAATGTATGAAATGCGCAAAAATTTTAATTGTCATCATTTACCAAACAGTTGACGGTACCCATTCACTTCCATAGTATTTTTTCCATAATGGCTACCATCAGCACCAGCATGTGAAGTTTACTTTTACAACAGTACACAACTGCTTTTCTAGCAGAATGTTACATGACCAACATAATGTACTGCTTCTATGACCATAATATTGTATTTCTAGAATTTGCTCATGTTTTAGTAGGGGATATTTGTTCCCCCTACCATAAATCCTACACTAACACAATTATTACTTGAAGTTAAAAGACATTAAGGTTTGCTTGTAATCATACATTTTAATGTTATCTAATAAAAACAAAGCCTGTAATTTGTTTTCAAAATATAATTTTTTTTTTTGAGGTGAATACCATAATAGCGTTATCCAAAAAAATGCAGTCATGTAAAGAGATGGCTGTAACATTTTTAAATGTACACAAATTATATAAATGCAATAGAATCACACAATTATTTTGTTTATTTTTAAAAGAAAATCCATAATTTTTTTTACCCAGTTCATTTATTTATTTTTAAATACACTTGATATTGCATATTTTGGCAAACGTATGACTTTTCATAGTAGTCCCACATTATAATAGAAATTAATAATTCAAAACACAATAATTTTATAATTTGGCACAATTCATACTCCCAAGTACCTCATGCCATACATTCAAGATTTATGCACATGCTGTCTTGTTGCTATAATATTGCATTAAAGCAGTCCAATATGGACTTTGGGATTGAGGACATGTCTGTGTGAAATCACACAATGCCAAAGTATATTTTCTGCATCTACTCTGTAAAAGAAAATGAAAATGTTTCAAGTGCCTCCACAAAGTTCAACAAAATCTGAAAAAAAAGGCTGTTTTCAGGTGAGCATCCCGCTGTTATTTAATTGTGAATAGTGTGTGAGAAGAACATTGATGCTACTGTGTGGAGATGAGCGACACTATGGTGTGTATGATGCGAGACCCTCGAGGACAGCCGATCAGATCCATGCTGGGATTTCTGATCTTCTCCTCTAAGAGCTGATCCAGCTCCCACCGCAGCTCTTTCACCAGCTCAGCCACCTACACAAACACAGTCTGAAATCAAACACTGCCATAGCATGATATGATATTCTAGTGCAAGTCTCTTACCTCATGAGACGCAGCTGCAAATCTGATCCAGCCGTCTTTTTTTTTTTTTTTTGCATTTGGCAGAAACTCACAGGTTTGGAAGAACATGAGGGTAAGTAAATTACAGAAATTTCATTTTTGAGTGAACTATCCCTTTAAATCAGGCAATATCAAGATGACCTTTTCACATTTCTATGATCTTAAGTACATAAACTTGAATTTTTTTCAGTTCTGTAGTTTTCGTCCCAGCACTGAATCACTGTTACCTCATAGCCTGTGGCCTCCAGCACCCCATCACTTCCTTTTGAGCTCATTTTTTCAATGACCCTGGCCTTCAGTCCATCCTTCACAAAGCCAATGTCAGACAGAAGCTCTGCAAACTGCCTTTTAAGACATGCTATCTCCTGAGAGAACACACACACAGAGCAGTTATGGTATGCCTAAATGACTGATATCTACACTGAGCCAATCAGAGTCCAGTCTCACCTGTAAGCCCCGGATCGAGAGGAAGTTCTCTCTGCAGAACTGGTAACCAGCCTTAAAGCTGCTCTGTGCTGCGTTACACCAACCCTAAACAGAACAAACATCAGTGCAAGTCTTAATATTTATATCAAAACAGCACATTTCATGCACATTAATTATGAATGAAAATGCACCCAATAATGAACAAGGTTCAGATTATTACCAGAAATGCGTAATAAAGACATTTTGGCTGATATGATCAGAAGTAAATCTGTATATTGGGGAAATAATTTTTATGACTGATCATGGTGGTCTAGTTAGCAAAAGAAAAACATTTCCTAAAAGCAGTGTCAATTAAAAAAAATGTTTTCAGTATGTTCACATATTGAATAAATATCATGTAAAATAACTATTCATTTCAATTGAGCAATTTATCTTATTTACTATTATTAAATTGCATTATTTATCTAGCAATATATATATTAAAAAACGATATAAAAAAAGGGAAAACTTACTGGAAGAGCCATATTAAATATTACAAATCTATTTAGAAGTTCGGGTCAGTGAGATTTTTTTATGTTTTTGAAAGAAGACTCTTAGGCTCACCATTGGGCTTATTTGATCAAAAATACAGTAAAAAAACCCAGTAATATTGTGAAACATTACAATTTAAAATAATGTCATGTCACATGATCCTTCAGAAATCATGCTAATATGCTGATTTGCTGGTCAAGAACATTTATTATTATCAAAGTTGCAAACAGTTGTGCGGCTTAATATCTTTGTGATTATTTTTTTTATTTATGTTTTAAAATTGGAAAAAATGAGTTTGATGTTATCAGCTTCTAATATCAGTCTAATAAAACCAATTGCGTGAATAAAAAAACAAAAACAAAGAACCGAATGAAATGCAGACGCCTGTTGATGGAAATAAAAAAAAAATTCCTGTAAAATACACAAAATCTGAAAGCATAATAAGATTATTCAACAAATTAAGAAAAATAAAGAACAAGAAAGTGGTGAAAGATGTGTATACCATTATGAATTGTAGTCATTAAATTGATCAGAGCCTGAACTGACCTTGTACGCCTGCAGCAAGGCCAGATGGTCGCTGTTTGCCAGAGAGAACCCCAACTTCTTCTCGTTAGCTTCCTCTCGTTTATCCCAGGGAGACACCTGCGAGTATGGCAGGATCTCAGGTCACAGTACTGCGCTGGAGAAATAGCTTCCACATGTGTCTGGTGACTTACGAATGGACTCTTGAAGGCCAGGCTAGCGGCGATGGTGAGGGCAGGGTCCAGGCAGCGGAAGATGGCTCCCAGCAGCATGAGTTTACCGATGCGGACGTCCACAGGCAGACAGGCCAAATGCCAACCGAGGGGAGTCAGAGACTCCTCGTCCGTCAGGGCGCCCAGGGCACACAGGCGCTGTTTAGCGGCCTCCAGACTGCCCTCTGCGGGCGGCTCAATAAGCTGAGAGAAAACTGACTCCAGAGGACGCTCCGTAAACACCTCCAACACCTTAACCCTGGGACAGAAAAACTGTAACTATTAAGATCTGAACAACTCACATGAAGTTTGCTTGTGTTGAAGGAATAGTTTACCCAAAAATGAAAATTTGCTTTTCAAGATGTAGATGAGTTTGTTTCTTCAAGGGGAACAGATTTGGAGAAATTTAGCATTTCATCACTTGCTCACCAGTAAAGTGAATGGGTGCCGTCAGAATGAGAGTCCAAACAGCTGATAAAAACATCACAATAATCCACAAGTAATCCACCCAACTCCAGTTCAGTTAATCAGTTAATGTCTTGTGAAGTAATAAGCTGCATGTTTGTAAGAAACAAATCCATCAAGATGTTTTTAACATTCAAACTTTGCTTCTGGCTAAAATACACACAAGCCCACTATCCATAATATTGCTTTCTCCAAACGTTGTCTCGTCTAAATCAGGAGTGAAATATACACACATCAAGCAAGCACTGTTTTACAAGCAAAAACAGTCCAAAACTGTTCTAAACAAATTATTTTGGTGGATTTGGATATAAGAGGACAACAGTTGATGGAATTTGTCACTAGAGGAAGTGTTATTAGGCATTACAGATTTTTGCCAGAGTTTTTACGTTAAATAGTCTTAATGATGGATTTGTTTCTTACAAACACAGTTTTTCACATCACAAGACATGAACTGGAGTGGTATGGATTATTGTGATGTTTTTTTTCAGTTGTTTGAACTCTCATTCTGATGGCACCCATTCACTGCAGAGGATCCATTGGTAACCAAGTGATGTAATGCTACATTTCTACAAATCTGTTCTGATGAAGAAACAAACTCATTGACATCCTAGATGGCCTGAGGGCAAACATTTTTCCACCACATAATCCACCACATAATTTTGGGGTGAACTACTCCTTTATTTAAAGTTTTTTTGTTTCAACAGGGTTGTTTTAAGGTGGTTACCTTAGACAGAGCTGCTCCAGGGGCACTCTCTGAATCTCAGGCAGCTGCTGTTGGCTCAGGTGATGTGTGAAGCGATGGCTTGTAAACAGATGGAAGCATACGCCTGATGCCACACGTCCAGCACGGCCTTTTCTCTGGAGAGCATTTGCACGAGACACCCATACGTCCTCTAGACTCTCCATACTGCGACTAGCATCATACCTAATACATGCACAAACATATGACAATGCATCCAAAACCACAAAGAATATTCAATGTTAACCAAGAAAAATAAATAATCTATGTTTGGACAGCGCCTCAAACCTCTTCTCCTTCATCCGGCCAGAGTCTATGACATACACCACATCATCAATGGTGACAGAAGTTTCAGCGATGTTGGTGGAGATGATGATTTTGGTCACACCCTCATGTGGGCGGGTAAAGACCGCCTGCTGCTCCTCATTGGACAGGGACGAGTGTAGAGGATACACTACACACCTAAAAATGTTTACACACAATCATAAATATATATCATCATCCACTTTTTACAGGTGAATCTGACAAACCAAAACATGTCCAGGTTGCATTTCAGCCCATAATCATTGTTTCATTAAAAATTATTTTTATATATTAACAAACATAAAAGTTTTGGGTCAGTAAGACTTTTTAAAATTTCTCAAAGAAGTCTATTATGTTCACCCAGGTGGCATTTATTTGATCAATTTAATGCATTTTTGCAAATTAAAAAAATTGCGTTAAAGGAGAGTCAGAAGGTTGGTATCGTTTAATAGAAAACTATCTGTACTTTCAGAAGGAATTATTTCATTTGGACATTCTCCTGCTCAACAAATACTTAAACTCAAATGGATACCTGGACAATTTTCAATCTGGTTTCCGACCGCATCACAGCACAGAGACAGCGCTCATTAAGATAATAAATGATATTCGCTTAAATTCTGATTCTGGCAAAATATCAGTGCTGGTACTACTAGATCTCAGTGCTGCGTTTGACACGGTCGATCATAACATACTTCTAGAGAGACTAGAAAACTGGGTCGGGCTTTCTGGGATGGTAATCAAATGGTTCAGGTCATACTTAGAAGGGAGAGGTTATTATGTGAGTATAAGAGAGCACAAGTCTAAGTGGATGTCCATGACATGCGGAGTCCCACAAGGCTCAATTCTTGCACCGCTCTTGTTTAGCCTGTATATGCTCCCACTAAGTCAAATAATGAGAAAGAACCAAATTGCCTATCACAGCTATGCTGATGAT